GGTTGACATGTTGTGAGGTTGTTAACCAATGTCATAAAACAATATGTGTACTACTGTTTCATGAGAAACTATTTGTTCTGTAAGCCTTCACCTGAAGTAGAATTTAAAAAAAAAAGAAGAATTAGGTGAGTTAACCCTTACACAACACTTAGTACTCTCCCTGGCACATTAAAAAACCAAACCAGTTGCTGTGGAGTCAGTTCAGACTCCTGGCGACCCCACATGAGTCAGAGTGGAACTGTGCTTCATAGGGTTTCCAATGGCTGATTTTTCAGAAATAGAGTGCCAGGCCTTTCTTCTGAAGCTCCTCTGAGTGGACTGACAACCTTTTGGCTAACTGACACGTAGTAAGTGCTTAGTAAGTGTTAGCTGGTATTGCTGTTCTGACTATGCTGGGTGTGTGAGTGCATGAGTCTGCATGTATCAGAATGGGTAAGAGTGGGTGAACTCGTACTCAGGAGTCAGAGTGCATGGGTGGTCATGGAAGAGGGAAGGTAGGCAGGAGCAGGTGTGTGGGCATCACTGCGAGGGGGGCAGCGTCCTCAGCAGTAGTATTCATGGATGCACCTTGCCCCCAGGGCCTGAGAGTCCACACTGGACCTGGCCGATAGGAGCCTGTCAGCCTCTCCCAGGCTATGCCAGGACAGCCCCTCAGAGCCTTCCTCGCTGTGACCCAGCCTCTCCAGGCTGACATAGGCGCCCGCAGCTTCCTCCGGGCCCGGTGTGCGACACTTGAGGCAGCGCCTGCGGAGGGCTCGGCAGCAGACGAGCAGCGTGAGGGGCATTGCAATGACAGCGGCCACACTGACGACCACCACGTTGATGAGCTGCTGTGTGCTCTCTGCGTCCACCACCTCGTTGGTGGAGAAGATGACGCACTGCTCCTTGCGGGGCGCCAGACCCTGAGCACAGACGCACGCCACGTACTTAGTCTGGGGCTCCAGCCCATCAATGGTGACGCTGGTCTCTCCAGGCTGCACCGCCACCCGCAGCATGTCGTGCTGGCCAAAGACCGCATAGAGGACGCTGAAGGCAGTGGTATTCCCAGCCTGTGGAACCCTCCACACCAAGGACACGCTGTGGTACGTGCCCCCTACCACCTTGAGGGACCGCACCATCCGCGCCTCCTGGGGCTCCGCTGGCCCGCCTGAGAGCTCTCCCGCGGCACCCAGCGGGAAGTGCGGGGGGGTCCGTGCCTCCTTCGTGTTGGGTGCAAAAGTCCAGGGGGTCAGGACAGCAGGTTCGCGGGCATGGGGGACGTGCCTGGCCACCGGCTTGTCGTTGTAAGCAGCAGCTTCCACCTCCTTGCCTGTCTTTGTCTGCAGCACCCCAGGGTCCCCACTCTGCTCTGTGGAAGCCTGGGCTTCAGTGACAGTCAGGGATATGCGCATCTCAGAGGCACCTAGGAAGTTCTTGGCCTGGCAGACATAGTCTCCAGAGTCCTGGTGGGACACTGCCGGCAGGCCCAGCAGAGCCCAGCTTGTGCCATCCTGTGAGACCTCCTGGTGCACTGTGGGAGAAAGAGGCTTCATGAGGAGGGAGGGCACCACCCCAAGCTCCCTTCAAGGGCAAGTCCACAGCCCCCTCAGAGGTTCCTGTCATCCTGAGAAACCTGGGAACCGTTCAGCTTTTCTGAGAATAGCTAAAGAAATCAGGATTACAAATGTGGGGAGTCTCTGAAGACCCCAGGTTGGGGCAGAGCCTAAGAATGATCTGCTTTCCAGATGTGAGGTGTTCAAACTGTGTTCTCCGGAGCCCTGAGGTTCCACAGAGGTGACCCCCCGGGGCAGAGGGCAGGTGCATTGGGAGTAAGGGGATAGATGGGTGAAATGAGGAGAGGCCCAGGGTAAGTACTCTGCCTCCCCCACCCAGGCCACTGCTCTTCTGTCATATCATCTCCAGCTTTCTGTTTTACACAGTGGAGCTCCTTGTACAATTTTGTTTGTAAATTGATTTCAAACTCACTGTCCTAAGCAATGGTTCGCAACCCAGTTGCAGGAGACACAGAAGAAAGCTGGGAGGGACCGGAGGGTTTCTGGTCCAGTGCTAGAAAGTCGTTCCTCCTCAATCTTATCCCCCTACCCCCAGTGCCATAGGGTTTCAATGACTGATTTTTTGGAAGTAGATCACTAGATCTTTCTTCTAAGATGCCTCTGGGTGGGTTCAAACCTTTAACCTTTTTGGGTTAGCAGCCAAGCATGTTAACTGCCTGCACCACCCAGAGACTCCTGGTGATGCTAGCCCTGTATTTACAGCTGGGAAACCTACTATAAACATCACTTCACTAACTTCCTGTTAACCAGAAATCCAACTTTTTGCCCCTCTCAAGGTGGGGCCAAGTCTCTGACAGAGTGGCTGGTGGGACATGATAGGAGAGGATGCAAACCACTGTCAACCTCAGAGCCTGCCCAACTCCCCTCAGACAGGTGGGCATCCAGCTTGCTTAGACCACCACCCTGTCCCTGGCAAACCTGGTACTATCCCCCCCTGTTTGGGACCCCCCCCCCAGTCTGGGATCACAGCCCAGCAGTCCCTGTGCTCACACACCTGTGCCATTGAGCGGGTGCCCGTTGGCCCTCCTCCAACTCATCTCAGGCCCAGGGACCCCAGTGGCCTCACAACGTAGCAATGCTGTGCTGCCCACAGGGGACCTGAGGCTGGCCACACCCGGATGGAGCTCTGGACCCTGACACCTCCTCAGTTCCAGCTGGCTGAAGACCACTCCAGCCAGGCTGCGCGGGCTGGCACACCACAGCCTGGCCTCGACGAAGGCCAGGTGTGGGGCCCAGCCATCTAGAAAGTGGGCCAGGTCATAAAGCCGGCAGTCACACATCCAGGGATTGTCCTGAAGCCCTGTGGGTTGGGAGAGAAGGCAAGAGGTAAGCCCTGAGTATTCAGACCCCTTCCCTTGGAAAGGACCAGGTGAGCCCTGAGCTCAGGGTCAGCAGAACCGGCCTCCAGGCCCCGCCCTCTGCATGGCTCGCTGTGAGACCTGGTCTGACTCTTCAGCTCAAATGCTAGTGTTGCTTCCCTTTTTGGGTTGCTATAAACATAAAACCCATTGCCATCGAGTCAATTCCAACTTACAGCGACCTTATAGGACAGACTAGAATAGTCCCATAGGGTTTCCAAGGCTGTAAGCTTTACACGGAGTGGCTGGTGGGTTTGAATTGCCAACCTTTCAGATAGCAGCTGAGCACTTAACCACTACTTCACCAGGGCTCCAGCAGATAAATAATACCTATCCATGGCTTTAAAGAGGCCTGGTGTCACAGTGGTTAAGTGCTAGGCTGCTAACCAAAAGGCTGGCGGTTTGAACCCACCAGCCGCTCCACAGGAAAAAGATGTGGCAGCCTGCTTCCATGAAGATTTACAGCCTTGGAAACCCTATTGGGCAGTTCTACTCTGTCCTACAGGGTTGCTGTGAGTTGGAATCAACTTGGGTTTGATGTTTTGTTTTTAATAAGCACAAAGGTAATACATATTAAAGCACCAGGTAGACATACCACATACCTACAAGATTGGCAGTTACTGCTTCCATTCTAGAATAATCTTTGCAGACCACTGGCCCAGCTGTGAGGATTTCTGCAATTATTGCAATGCCAAAACCCAGTTCTAAAAACGCTTCACTGGCCCCTGACCCCTATCCTCCCATATAAGTGGCACTTTCAGCATCACCCCAGCAGTGAGGGTGGCTGCTTGGGGTCTTGGTCCCTTGACACAGGCTCAGATGGGGGTGAGAGGGGGAGCAAGAAGGCCAGAAAATCGAATTCTGTAACACAACAGTGAACATCTTCATTGCACCCACCCTATCAAAGAGCCTTATACAGACAGAGGGGGACAACGTGTCCGCCATTCTAAGACACAATTCCTTGTTACACGTTTGCAAGTCTGAAATGTAAAATTAACACACTTAGTGTGATATCCTCCCTCTGCAAAAAAAAAACAAAACTGTTATTAAACTTGTAGTGTGTCTAGTGATCGCTGGCATCTTTACACATTTGCGTACAGATATTTGACATGTTTGGGAGGGGAATGTCAGAGGGCTGGGGAGGGTGCAGACGGATCTGAAGACACAGCTGTGAGTCTGTTCCTTTGGAGCACTAGCTGGGAGGGTGCTGTTTCCTCCCTCTCCCTCCAACTCCCCCCCAGTGGCAGCTGCCCTGTGTCACTGGTTAAATGCCCTTAACCATTCGTCTGCAACCCAAGACCCATTGCTGCCCAGCTCTGGTGGTTAGCACTTGGTCTTCACCTCATCACAAGGTCCCGAAAGAATTCATTCAAAAGGCAAAATTAAACTACAGTGAAACATTTGCATGCCAAGTTGGCAAAGTTAAGCATTTTGGCCATTTTAATTGTCAGCTCCATAAAAAACCCAAAAACCAAATCCAATGCCATTGAGTCAATTCCGACTCATAGCTCCATGAGGGAGTAGATGAGTAGATTTCCATCCATGTTCACTGCTGTATCTCAGCACCCAGAACAGGGCCCACACACTGGCAGGCAGTCATGGATGGTGGTCTCACCCTCTAGGCGAGAACTGGCAGAGCCAGTTTAGAGAATACCGGATTGGTATTTAAATGTCTACTGTGCCAGCATCGCCACCTCTCAGACACTGATCCTAGAGAGACATGTACAAATTTTCTCTGTGGCATCACGGGTTTTAGCGATGTAATGGAGACCGCCTAAAGGTCCATTAAAGGGGAAGGGCTAAATAGAGTACTGGAAACCCTGATGGTGCAGTGGTTAAGAACTCGGCTGCTAACCCAACAGTGGGCGGTTCAAATCCACCAGGCGCTCCTTGCAAACCCTATGGGGTCATTCTATTCTGTCTTATAGGGTCGCTATGAGTTGGAATCGACTCGATGGCAATGGGTTTGGTTTGGGTTTGGGTATAACTGTACTACAGAATATTGTACCATAGTTTTAAAAAGTGAAGTTGATCCACTTACAGTAATTTAGAAAGAACTCCAAGACATATTTTTGGGTGAAAATTTTACTGCTGGTTGATATATATATATAAACCAAACCTGTTGCTGTCAAGTCAATTCCTACTTGGGAATTGGGTTGCCAGATTTAGGGAGGAAAAAAAAGTACAGGATACTCAGTTAAATCTGAATTTCAGATCATCCACAAATAATGTTTTTATATAAGTATGACCCTATGCAGTGCCCTGGCTCTTACCTGACAACACTAGAAAAGGGTCAGAGATGTCTGTAGGAGGGTGGCATGGAGCTGAATGGGGCCTGAAACCCCACCTTGCTATTCCCTGCCCTGCTTCTAGAAGTGACCCTTCCAAATGTCCCCTTCTTAAGAAAGTCTCTGTGGCCTCAGGGCAGGAGTTACACAAAACCCCACGGATTTTCCTCAACATGAACTCCGCCCCCAGTGCTGGACCCAATGCAAGTCAAGGCATGCTCCAGGCACACCATGCAAGGAGTTCTCTTGAGAAATAGAAGTGAGGTCCTCTCCTCTGATACCTCCCACTGCCCCACCATGGTTCCCATGCCTTCATAGGATAGCAGAAGGAGCATCATCTGTGTGACCAGAGCCATAAGCTCAAGCCCACCACTCACAACCCCCAGGCTCTGTTTGTTCATCTCGATAACAAAGGAAGTTGTTTGCACTGACTGTTCCTAGGGATGATGTGAGAATCAAGTTCTGTGAGGGTGAGAGGCAGCTCAGTGACCCTTAGAGCCACACTAATGCAGACAGGAAGGACTGAGCAATCACTGTCTGCATACAGAGCACTCAGAGGATCTGCTCAGAGAGGGGGGTCCACATGCTTTGAGTACTGTTGAAGGTTGGGCTTCTCCTGGAAGCCGACTCTGAGATGAAGATCAGCAGGTTCTGGGTTTGTTAAGGGGAGGAGGGTCCGTGGGATCTACACCTGTGGAAGGGAAAGGAAAGGAAGGAAGGAAAGGTTAAGGAAGGGAGAAATTGTGATGGTGGCCTCGCCAGAGCTTCAGCTGGCCTCTGGGTGGCTCTGGAGCTGAAAGAGCCCATCAGAGTTGTCCCAAGTGGCTGGGCCTTTAGACTGATAGGTCTTGGGTGGGGCCATCCCCAGGCAGGGTGGGCCTTGGGCAAGGAGGCTCTACAGCTGAGAAGTCCTTCCTTAGCAGGGATCATGGCACGTCTGTGCCCACCACCACCAGCACTGCCTTTTAACCCACCACACCAGTCTTTGAGGTAGGTATTGTCATTATCCTCCCTTAACAGGAGCTGAGTAACTTGCAAAGGATGCACAGCTAGACGAGGCAGAGCTGAGGTATGAACTCAAGCCATCTGACTTGGAGCTTGAGCCCCTAAACCTGTCACTTTAAGCCTCTCACTCAGTCTTCATTCACACCTGAAGAAACAAAAACAAAACCCAAACCCATTGCCATCGAGTCAACTCCAACTCATGGTGACCCATATATGTCAGGGTAGAACTGCTCCATAGGGTTTTAAATGGCTAATTTTTCAGAAGTAGATCACCAGGCTTTCTTTTGAGAAGCTTCTGGATGGACTCAAACCTCCAAGCTTTTGGTTAGCAGTTGAGCGCATTACCTATTTGCACCACCAAGGAACAGGTATTATTTCCTTTCTAGATAAAGAACCGTGACTCAGAGAGGCTGGGTAATTTTCCCAAGACCCCAAGGCTCAACAAGATTGTTCTTGGGGAAGGATGGGAGAGGCCAATGAAGTTTCTTACCTAGGACAAGCCTGGCGCGGTGGCCGGGCAGGAAGGGCCCCATGTGCAGGTGGGCCCAGGTGGCCAGCAGCTCCTGTGGGAGTCTCATCAGCTGGTTGCTGGAAAGGTCGAGGAAGGTGAGGTTTCCCAGGAAGCGCACAGCCTCTATCGGCACGGCAGAGAGGCGGTTGGCCTGCAGGTCCAGCAGCCGCAGCTGGGGGGCATCCCTGAGGGCTGCCCAGGGGAAGGCAGTTAGGCGGTTCCCGGGCAGCCGCAGCTCTTGCAGGCGCTGCAGGCCGCGCAGCATGAGGGCACTGAGGTCACTGAGGGTGTTGTAGGGCAGCCACAACTGCTCCAGGCGGCCCAGGGGCCGGAAGGCCTCCCCGGGCACCCTGCGGATGGCTGTCCTCTCCAGGCGCAGCCGGCAGGTATCTGGAGGGATGGAGGCTGGGGGAAGTGTCATGTCAGGGTCATTGCACACCACCGTCCTGTTAACAAACATGGGGGACAGTTGAGCAAGGGCCCTGCTGGATCGAGTCCCCCCACTTCATGTGAAGAGGCCTCCAGGATACTAGAGCCTAGGGACCCTGGAGAGGGCCCTGACCAGCAGCTGCACCTTGGGAGACCCCTGCCCTCAGAGCCTATCACAGGATCCCAGGGGGCCATTTGGGCTCAGTTTACTGGCCTGAAGGACTTCAAACTTGAACATTGATGTCTTGTCCTGGGCCCACCCCACCTGTCCTGCCCTGAGAGTGAGTAAATCCTGAGCTGGTCTTGTGAATGGTTGTGTGGCATGTATGTGTTACAGGTACTGGGTTGTTAAATCATCCCTCACTTGTAGCCATTTTGGCTTTTAAAGTGGAAGTCCTGAGACCTCTCTGAACCCTGAGGGACCACTGATGATCAGGTGTCTCAGAGCCTGAACTTTGCACCCCACTACTTAGACCCAGTTCTGGGGTTCTTGGCTTGCTGGCTGTGTAGCCTCTCTGTTCCTCGGTTTCCCCATAGTGATAGATACCCTTCCCAGGGCAGGCATGGCATGTAAGCAAACAGTGTACGTACAAGCTCAGCACAGTGCCTGTCCCCTGTGGGAGCCCAGTGATACAAACCAGTGTTGTGAATTCTGCACCCCAGGGCTACACCTAGATGGGGTCATCTTAACCATCACCCCTTTCTCCCTCAACAGGGACTTCTTAGATCTTGTTCTGTCAAGTTTAACACTGAAAGCTGAGGATAGAGAGAGAAACAAGGAGCAGCCCGTGCCTTCAATGAGCGTACAATTTAGGGCTGTGTTTTAGTAATCACTGATGGCAGTTCACACACATAAATAAGATCCAACAGGAAAAATTCCCAAGAGGAAGGCAATGCTTGGTGGCTGGGCATCAGGAGACCAGTCTTTGCCCAGCCCCAGTTCCGTCTGCTCACACTGGGGGGTGGTATCTTGCTTTGATAAGGTGGTTGTTCTCTTGTAATGTCATTACCTGTTGCAAGTGGCAGACCTTCCTGGCGTAACACACACGCTACCAGCATCTGTTAGCTTAACCTGCACTATGGCTTTGATTTTCCTGTGACCCTTGCCCACAGAAAGGTGCAGATATCCCCACCCATTCACATGTTCCTCACGCATACATGGAACCCCACTTAAGTGATGGGGGCTGCAGCCATTCAGAAAACTGTCAGACTCACGGCCCCTCTCCCACACATCATGTTATCTAGGTAAGGAAGAGCAGTCAAGGAACTGATATTTTCAGATGATAATACAGGTTTCGGTGCTTCAGGGAGGAAGGTCTGGCTGTAGGTGAAAGAAGGGAGTTGATGGGGTTGGGGAGAATAGGGTCAAAGGAAACTAAGAAGAGACTAACACAAGCCAATAGCATGACTCCCAGGGGACGCACTATGCACCGGGAACAGGGAACACGTCCATCTGTGGGCCTAGACCACCTCTCCCAGGCAACCCAGTGCTCGCAGGTGCTGCACCCTGCTCACAGCATGGGAACATGGGAGAGGGCAGCTGCCCAGGCCACTCAGACATAAGGGCTGGGCTCTCTGAGGGCCCTCGTAGAGGCGGGCCTGATGACGGCCACCGGCAGATTGCACAATCTGTGTTTTTGGCCATTTGGGGCTTTAGGGCTTCTACAGCCTTTAATGGCCCCACTCTCTCACAGGACACGCCTCACAGATGGTCTGGTGCATGTCGGATGCAGGACTGTCAGGCAGAGAGATGACTGAAGAGCTCTGGCTCCAGAGGAGGGAAAGGCTACTGTCTGGCATTAGGGGCCCTGAAAACTGCCCCTGGAATGTCATCTTACATCCTAAGGTGAACTCTGCTGCCTGGAGCCCTGCTTGGTCCCTGCCTGTGGAAAGAACCCTGGAGATGGAATCAGAAGCCCTGGGTTCCAGGACCAGTTCTGCCACTGAGGCCATGTGACTCTGAGCCCTTTGCTCTCTGTGCAGGCGGTGTGTGGGGGTCTTCATCACCTGGCTCACACTGTCCTTGGCCAGGGGCTATTTCCCGGCCTGCTCAGGGCTCAGCCCTGGCTTCCTTGTCCTTATGCTCCATATGAGTTGGAGCCTTGGAGATTTGGGCCAAAAATGGAGCTCTTTCTGTTCTTCAGACCATACAGGATGTCCTATCTGGCGGGGGTCTCTCTAGTTCAGCCTCCCCTCACCCCTAATCAGCCCTGCACCCATTGCAGGATCATTTGAAGAGTACTTCCAATAACATTGCTCCCCTCATCAGACACCACCAGTGGCTCCCCAAAGCCTGTCTAAGAAGGGGGCAAGGGAGGATGGCATGACAGGAGGTCAGAAAGATGGGAAAGGCCATGAGCCAGGGCTGACATCTTGAGCCAGTTAGGAAATGCTGGGTCATTAACAGGTGGGCTGAAGAAGGTAAGAAAGATAGCCTAAAAACAGCTGAAGAGAAGAGAAGAACAAGCTGTGGTGGGAGATGGAATGGCCCAGTGGAAGACCAGAGAGGAAGGGAGAGTGGAGATGCTCTCGAGGGCTCCGATGGGGGCAAGGGAAGTCAAGGAGGGGCAGAGGATAGAGAGGGTCTGGCCCATGATGAGTGGACACTCTAGAGGTTGCTTTCTGGATCAGAGGAGACTTAGAGGGAGAGGGCATGTGGAGGCCGGTGGCCCCTTCATGGCTGCAGTAGGAGGAAACATGCGGGATAGGATCGGGTGCTGAGGGTGTTGGGGAGAGATACAGACAGGATGATGGAGAGAAGGAAGCAAGGGAAGGAAGGGAGAGAGCCAAGGGAGGAAACTTCCTGCGCATTTCCTGTTCCACTCCACCGGGAGCCTGGAGGAGGACTCAGGATTTCTGGAGCTTGAAATCCCCTGCCCCACCTCCATGTGTAAAGGTTCCTCCTGGGAAGAGCCTAAGCCCCAGCTTGCAGAAGATAATGCCATGCAAACCACCCCCAAAGGACCCCTGGGCTTCGAGGGCATACATAGGGGTCTCATGAAGCCATGGTTTGAGATTCTGCATCCCACCCCTCCCCACCCCACCCTGCTGGCAGAGCCAGTGGGGCTAGGCCACCCTCCCAGCTCCCAGTGCCCTACCTGGCCCTGCTGCCGTCACCCAGCATGTGGAGGCTGCAGCTACACTGTGAGGGACAGGAGCCCCAAGACTGGGGGAGTCCCCCAAGGGCCAGGAACCAGAGCATGCCCATTGCCACCCTCATGGCTCCCAGCTTCCCTCCAGCCCATGCGGAGCGTGTCTCTGATGTCTCGATCCTGCCAGCCTTGCAAGCCCAGCTGCCCACTTGCTCCTGGGGCCCCACCCGAGGCCACTGGATAAACACAGACAGGCTGGGGATTAAGAGAGAAGCCCCAGGCACAGCAGTCAATGGCTTACTGCTCCCCGGAATCACTCAGTCCTTAGCGTAGGGGTGGGGGACCACTTCCATAGCAGCAGCCCCAGGCTCAGAGAGCCCAGGGTGCTTGGGGCAGGACAGGTGGGCAGCCTCCAGGGGCGAGCACCTGCTGGACTGCCCTCCAGCCTGCAGTGCTGTCTGGGTTGGCCAGGCTGTAGGCAGCACAGACCCAGCTGGTTGCCCAGGCCCAGGGGCAGGGGGTGGGGGATGGGGAATGGAGACAGAGCCTAGCCTCTCAAGGGGTTTTGGAAGTTCTCTTCCAGGGGCATTATCAAATAGTGACAAAGTGATCTGAGATGCAGCAAGTCTTCTTGAAGTCAGTGAAGGCGTTAGAAAGAGCCTAAGCTCTGAGGTCGGGCTACGTGGGTTCAAACTCAGCTCCTCCATTTATAGGCCATGGCCTTGGGTGAGTCACATAATCTCTCTTTGCCTCTTGTGTCCTCATCAGAAAACGAGAAGTAATGTTACTCCACCCACGGTGCTTAGGAACATTAAGTAAACTAAGTTTCCCCAGGCCTTGCCAGCCTGTGAGAAGAGAAACTGCCTTATTATTAGTGTTGTTGTTGTTGTTAGTTGCCATTGAGTCAGCTCCAACTCATGGAGACCCCGTGTACAACAGAACTAAACATTGCCCAGTCCTGCGCCACCTTCATGATCATTGGTATGTCCTTCTCCAGCAATTGGTCTCTCCTGATGATGCATCCAGTGTAAGAAAGTCAAAGTCTTGGACAATATTATGTGATCCATAGAGTTTTCATTGGCTAATTTTTGGATGTAGATCATCAGGCTTTTCTTCCTAGTCTGTCTTAGTCTGGAAGCTCTACTGAAACCTGTCCACCATGGGTGACCCTGCTGGTATTTAAAATACCAGGGGCATAGCTTCCAGCATCACAGCAACACGTTAGCCACCACAGCACAACAAACTGACAGACGGGTCATTAATACTAACCCCATTGCCGTCAAGTTGATTCCAACTCATAGTGACCCCATACGACAGAGTAGAACCGTTGCATAGGGTTTCCAAGGAGCAGCTGGTGGATTTGAACTGCCGACCTTTTGATTAACAGCTGAGTTCTTAACCACTGCACCACCAGGGCTCCGTCATTAATAGTAAGTACTCAAATTTTGCTGTCACTTGCAGATACCAGACCATGGAGGAGTCAGAAAGATTCACATATTTCATGGGGTCCTCACAGATGTCTCCCACGGGCTCATGAACCATCTCAGTGTGCTGGCAAATGGCTGCTTCCCCTGAGTGCCCTGTGGACACCCAGACTCACAACACGAATGCTTCAGCCCTTCCGGGAATCACTGCCAATGCCAAAAGCACAAGGTATCTCAGCAAGACGGCAGAGAATGCCCCTCTCCTCCATGTAGCACATGCCAAGGAGGGTCACAGAGCAGTACCCTACAGAGTTGTTAGAGAAGGCACTTTCAGTTTTTACCTATTGCCCCCACCCCCAACCACATCCCACCACACCCCATCCAGGACACCAGTCAGGGACTAAGCCAGGGATGATTTCAAGCAACAGACACCACTCTTCACTCAGATTCGTTTTTCCAATTTGATGCGGAGGCTTTGCTTTCTGTTCCAGCATGTTCTGCCTGGCTCCCTTGGCTTTTCCAGAAGCTTCCTCAGTCCCTCATGCCCATGGGCTTGACGTAGCTCAGGGAGCTATGACTAAGGTCCAGTTCCCTGGGGCCCTCAGTGCACATATAAAATGCCCAGCTCTGTACCAGACTTGTTTTGACAATACTGGCCCAGAATAAATGTTTCCCATCTGTTATGGATTGAATTTTCTCCCCCCAAAGTATATGTTGAAATCCTAACCTGTGTACCTCTGGATGTAATCCTGTTTGGAAATAGGAGGTTTTCTTTTGTTATGTTAATAAGCCCATAGTAGGGTAGAGTGGTTCCTAAACCTAATTGTTTCTGAGTTATAAAAAGACCAGAATAGACACAGAGACACATACACAGGGGAAGACAATGCCATGTGAAGATAGTCTACAAGCCAAGGAACAAGGAATGCCCAGGGCTATTAACAAGGAAGGAATCGATACAGCTGAGACCCTAATTTGGACTTTTAGCCTCCAGAACTGTGAGAAAATAAATTTCTGTTCTTTAAAGCCACCCACTTGTGGTATTTCTGTTAAGGCAGCACTAAGTAACTAAGACATCATCCCTTCCTCTTTCCAACCCAGCCAATATGATTTTCTCCTCCTTGCCAAACCAAAATACCGCCTCCTTGCCAAACCAAAAGACCAGCCCTGTCCGCCCCCATGCCTTTGCCTTTGCCCACGACAATGGTGCTTCTGTCAGAGATGCCTGCCCTTCTCTCCTTCTCCTGCTGAACTCTACCTGGGTTTCCCTGACCTCTTCTACTTCCTCTTATCTAGGGCAGCCTTTGACGACCTTGCAGGTATGGAAAAAAGATTCAGACATTTGTAACTAGCAACACAAGATAGAGGTCGGGAAAGACAAGGGAAGGCTGAGGTGCCTGGGTCCTCAGGAAAGGAGGTGGACCATAGCTCTGAGTGATGGTTATACTTGGATATGGGTGGAGGTCCTGCAAGAGGAAAGACATGGGAAATGGACAGACATTCACGGAATAGAATGGAATGCTTGGCTGGAGGGAGTCAGAAGATGCCAATGAATGGTGCCAGGGCCCAGGGACAGGAGATGGGGCTTTTGTCTCAGCTCCACCCATGAATCACTGACCTCGGGCCGATTCTTGACTACTTTGAGCCTCAGTTCCCTTGTCTAAAATGGAAAGAATGATGGTATTTACTTCATGGAGTTGTTGTAGGAATCATCATGCAGTCATGTAGCATAGCGCCTGGCCCATAGTGAGCTCTCAATAAACATCAGCTAATGGAGCCCTAGTGGCTCAGTGGCTAAGAGTTCGGCTGTTAACCAAAAGATTGGTAATTCAAATCCACCAGCGCTCCTTGGAAACACTATGGGGCAGTTCTACTCTGTCCTATAGGGTTGTTATGGGTTGGAATCAACTTGACGGCAACAGATTTATATTGCTAATAGCTTTCTGGGGCTTGGTTTCTTTATATGAAAATGAGTTAGGTTGTTCTAGATTAGTGGTTCCTGGTGTAAATTTCACCATCAGCCAGTGTGTGACTTGCAGCAGGATCTCACTGTAGAAGCCAAGCTCACAAAGGGTCCTACGGTCACTTACAAGAAGACAGTGCCTCATGTGTGTGTGTAGGGGGGAGGTGGTTATGCTGATGTAGCCCAAGCGCTGTATGGGAGACAGGAAGTACAGCCCTGAACCTATAACCATAATGGAATCTTCTAACCAAGACTTACACAGGCCATGAAAATACAAACAAACAAAAAACTCTTATGTTGCAAAGGAAGAAACCAAGCAGAGTCAAAAGGTCCCACCCCAGGTACGTAGCTAGTTAATGGCTGATTCTGAACCAGAGCCTGGGTTTCTAGTCCTAGTCGGGGTTCTTTCCAGGACAACAGGTGATTCCGCAACTCTCAAGCTCTCCCCAATGCTTGTGATCACTCACATCTGATCACAAGCACATACCACATAGACATGCACACACACCACACACACATGTACACACACATGTATACACACATGCACACATGCATACACATACACATATGTACACACTACATATGTAAGCTGACCCTACGAATGCCAGTAAACGTCCATTAGTCAGAAAAGACTGCCTTAAACCAGCCCAAGAAAGATTTGGCTCATTCTGCATGCGCAGAAGGGCCAGCAGTGATCATTAGTTAACCTCAACAGAGGACACAGCAACAGGTGGAACAAATCAGAAGGAAAACCATCACCCGGACCCCATTCCAAAGCAAGAGGTCCAACAAGAACCACGTCACCCTGCAGCCGTCAGCCAATGACTAAGACTGATGGGACCCACTCAGCCAATCCCCGTCTCCCACAAGGAGCCCAGGTTATGATGACTGTGGGTGGACAACTTACTGAATTTTTAGTGGACACTGGTGCAACCTATTTGGTTTCAAACACCCTGAAGGCCCCGCTTTCTAAAAGAAACATGACCATTACTGGAGTGTCTGGAAAACCTGCCAGCAAACAACCTACGGACTCTCAAGTCAGAGGTACAAAATTGACTCACAGCTTCTTATATGTACCTACCTGATGCCCTATTCCCCTTTTGGTAAGAGATTCACTAGCCAAGTTAAATGCTCAAGTCACCTTCTCAGCAGGTCAACTAAGTGTATTCCAGCAGGTCTGACCTGTCTGACCTGTTAACACCTCACTAACACTGATTTAGAGTTGTTCACTGACGGAAGCAGCCTTGTAGAACAAGGAGTCCAAAAAGCTGGCTATGCTGTGGTCACCCTTCATGAGACCAAGGTAACTGAGTCCTCCAACTGAGTTCCAACCAACGAGCCAGTATATATACAGTTCCAGGTATGACTTTTCAGTACTTTATGCACACAGAGCCATCTGGAAAGAAATGGTATTCCTAACTTCAGGTAAGAAAGAAATAAAACATGCAGAGGAGATTCTAGCCCTTCTGGAAGCAGTAAATTTACCAACAGAGGTGGCAGTTACAAACTTCCCTGGGCACCAGAAGGGTGAGTCTCACATAATTAAGGGATCAGGTAGCCAAACAAGCTGCCAGGACAAAAACCCCTGCCGCTTGCCTTGCTTGAAACCCTCAGTACACTGAGGAGCTGATGAGATGAATGGGGTTTTTAAACAATGACATGTCGAAAGATGGATGGTTGTACAGTTCCCAAGGACAGGTGGTAGTGCCAGGACACCTAAGGCACCCGATAGTAAAAGCAGCTCATGAGAGCACACATTATGGTTAAGATGCTGTGTTCTACTGGCTGATCAAAATAATTAAAGGGTCTAATATGCAAAAGACTATCCAGAAAGTAGTGCAACAATGTGTCACCTGTGCAAAGAACAATCCAAAAACAGGCCCACCACCTCCAATGCCTTGTGTACAAGCCTGCGGGACTGGACCTGGAGAAGACTGGCAAGTGGACTTCACAGTTACGCCAATGGCTACAGGAGGTTTCGAGTATCTTTTAGTGTTTGTTGATACCTTTACTGGATGGGTAGAAGCCTTCCCCTGATGAATGGAAAAGGCATCTGAGGTAAGTAAAGCTCTTCTCAATGAAATTATTCCTAGATTTGGCCTATCTTATTCAATTCAAAGCGATAATGAAGGAGCTTTTGTATCCAAGATTACCCAAGAAGTTTCAGGGCATTTAAGAATCCAGTGGAAATTACACACTTCTTGGAGGCCACAGTTGACTGGAAAAACAGAGAAGATGAACCACACCTTAAAGAAGACATTAGCTAAGCTCTGCCAAGAAGCCAACCTGCCCTGGATCAAGCTGCTACACTGCCATGTTGAGAGTCTGGGTGGCCCCTAGAAGCAGGCTCCAATAGAACCCCGATGAAATGCTGTATGGAGGACCTTTCCTGAAGGCAGCCTGGGGATGTAGTGCTTCAGATGATCCTCAAGTAGTCCATAAACTTAATGTTTCCAGGTACTTTAGGTCACTATATGTAACTCTGAAAGCTATTAACCAATATGCTTCTAGTCATGTGTTCTTTCCCACAGAAACCTAGTTCTCATAAAGAAGTGGGACGATTAACATCCTTGCAGCCAGCTTCAACCCAAGTGGACCGGTCCTTCTGAAGTTCTTCTAGTTGCCCACTTCTTGGTGAAGGCAGCGCGAGTCAAGCCTTGGATCCACCACACTAGGGTGAAGTATATGCCCACTGCTCCAGATGATCCCTGAAAGACTTCACCCACGGCGCTGGTCACCAAAATGCAGACTATTCATTGGACCAAAAAAACAACCAACTCCTGGAACCCTTAAAACAGAAATGGGAGTGTGAGCCTCTAGAAGACAAGACTACCTTTAAGAAGCAGCCTCAACTTACAGATAAGTGACATACATGTACCTCTTTCTGCTAGTAGCCTCTTCTACCTTCTAAGTCTTCTTTGCCTGCTACCCCCAGGAGCTAATCACTTTCTTAATATATGGTCCTTGCCTGTTAAAATTCCACCTAAGTCCCTAAAACTTCACCCCATGCCAGCAGGAAGTAGCCAGATGAGTCACCGACCCTTATCCCTTAAGATTAAGGAATTACTACAGCTCAAGGGGGGTTTGTAACCTAACCCTATCAGCGCCAGTAAATTTCCATTAGTTAGAAAAGACTACCTTAAACCAGCCCGAGAAAGATTTGGCCCATTCCACATGCACGGAATGGCCAGCAGTGACCATTAGTTAACCTCAACAGCAGACACAGCAACAGGTGGAATGAATCAGAAGGAAAATCATCACCCAGACCCCATTCCAAAGCAAGAGGTCCGACAAGAACAACGTCACCTCCTGTTTCCTGGCTGCATGATTGCTGCAACATCTTCCCTAGGCATTCCTTCTAGAATTTTCCCTCCCCAGTATGCCTGTGCGGCCGCCATTTTGCTGCCCCAAACATATAAAAGCCCTGTTTCCCCACCACTTGGAGAGTCAGATCTGAGGAACTTCCTCCTGGCTCCTTGCTTTGCGCATTGCAATAAATTTACTTTCTCTTTCTCCAAGACTGGAGTCCAGATTATTGTCCAGATTCTGAGCACACCAGACAGAACCCACCTTCTAGGATTCAACGCACACAGACATACATATATGCATGCACGTGCATGCACACCCATGCCCACACATATAGACACACACTGGGGCTCAGCCTGTCAGCACCTACAAACATGGAATGACCTGGCTCCTAACCAACTCTCAGGAACAGCTGCAGCTCAAATCCTTCCTTTTGCTCCTTGGTGGTTATGCAACTCTTTTCCAATTCAGCCCTTTGGGTTCCTGCTCCTTAATCCAGCCTGGTGGGGCTGAAATGAATGAGCCAGGCTCCATCCAGCTTCACAAAAGCTGTACTGTTCAACTGGTGAATGAGTTCCTTCTGCTTGGGCCAAAATGATGACTTAGAAGGGGAAGCAGCAGGAGTTGCGTGAGGTTCAGCATAAGAACTGTGCAGCAGCCCTTTAAAAGGGAAGCCTCAATTGAGGAGCCAGAGAAGAGCCAGCCAGCAGGGAGGGAGCCGAGGATGGCAGAGCCTGGGCCCCTGCCAGCTGGCTTCGGGGAGCTTGAAGTGCTGACTGTGGGCACTGTGCTGCTGGTGGAAGGTGAGTCAGGCCGGACATAGGGGGACGGACACCCAGGGGTTCCCAGACCCAGGTTGCAGTTATGATCTGGCAAGGATACCCCTAATCCACCTGGGGTGTTGTGCCTTCTTGGTCACCTGCTCCGATGGGACCATGGGCTGTGGGATACCGACCCTATGGGGTGCAGCATGAGGCAGGGGCCCAGAGAGAGGAGCCCTGCAGAGGTCAAGGAGGGAGCGGCTTCAAGAGAGGACATATGCCAGGAGATGACCACGAACCCAGGCTTCAGACCTCTCCGTGTCCCTCAACTGGGAGGAAGTTTACTCCACTCCCAGGAAGTCCAGCTGAGAATCCCGTGTCAGCCCAGACCCTGGAAGGTCTGTGGAGACAGACCTGTTGTCTGTGTAACTAACCAAGTCCCCTCAGCTGTCTGACCCCAGTGTCCTGACACTCAACATGGGTGGTTGTGAGGTTCTCTGTCCTATAGGGTCGCTATGAGTCAGAATCGACTCGACAGCACCTAACAACAACAATATGGCTGTAGACATAAACTGCTTGCCTGAGTAGACACCCAGGGATTTAAGTTTGTCTACTCCGTCCTCTCCGGCCCCACGTTACCACCACTGTCTCCATTCCCTCTTCCCTAAGCATGTCCACTCAGGGGCTACCTGGGCCAGCACGGGCCTGCATCCACCCTGAACCCACCCCTAAGAGGCTCACTGAGGCCAGAGCTGGGACAGCATAGACCCTGTGAGTAGACCAGCCGAAGACTAGGTTGATGGGGACCCAGCCTTTGTTCAAAGCAGCTGCAGAGAGCTAATCAGCACATTTTCTCACCTGATGAGAACCAGGGTGGAGAGGGAGTGGCAGCCAATGGACCGGTCCTGGTGGCCCCTTTTCCAAGAAACTTGCAATCTAACATCCATCCATCCAATCCAAACATGCCACCACATTTGACCACTGTATGTCTTTACACATGCTGTTCCCTTTTTCTGAAATGTTCCTCCACCTTTAGTCCTCCTGGTAAATGCTCTCAGTCTTTGTTTTAGAGAGGGAAGCTGACGTTCGGAGAGTTTGAGGGACAGCAAGTGAGTGGTCAGGTCAAAATTCAAGGTCAAGTCCATCTGTGCTGGAGAACGCCCCCTTTGAAGCATGCCTAGTGCCTTCCATCCTCGTAGCTCCCGGCTCGAAGAGCTCCAGGCCCTCCCTGACTCTGCCTCCAATGCCCTGGTGGGAAGACCCTTTGGACTTTAGAGACTCAAGTTCAACCAGCTCCACCACTTATTAGCTATTTACCCAGGTCCAATTAGCAAGACTCTCTGAGCCTCAGTTTCCAGCTATCCCAGGGAAGACTGGGTGAGATGATCCACGTGAGTGCTCAGCAGGTGCCGTACTTGTCATTGTCACAGCAGGGGCCACGCTGCACTGCACTGATTGCATCCTTGACTGTCTCCCTAATGGGAGTGAGTGGGAAGGTCAGGATCTGCACCTACCATATCGGTGTCTGAGCCATCCCCTGGGCAGGTGTGGAAGAACTGTGCTGAGAGGGTTGCTGGGCATGGAGGGGAGGTGGCTGAGACTCCACCCACCCAAGGACTTTGGGTCTGATGCTGGTGGCCTTGCCTGCCGTGATGCCAGCCCCCACTCTTCCTTTCAGCACTCTCCGGGCTTAGCCTCAATGGTCTGACCATCCTCTCTTTCTGCAAGATCCCAGAGCTTCGGACTCCTGGCCACCTGCTGGTGATGAGCTTGGCTTTGGCGGACAGTGGGATCAGCCTGAATGCACTGGTGGCAGCCATGTCCAGCCTCCGCCGGTATAGCCACCGTCTCTCTTGTCCACCCCCTTCCCACTCTATGGGCTTGTGGGGCCAGCCTGGGGCTGGCCTTGGGGGACAGCAGCACCAGGGCAGCCAGGCCAAAGGCAGAGTTCTTCCTGCTTGTGACAAGCTGGCCCAAGGGTAGGGGGTGGGCAGGCTGGACTAAGCTACACCTGAATTCCAGACTCCCCTAAAGAAAGGCAGCTGGTTTCTGGAGCCCAGGAGCTGCTCAGACTTGGTGAACAGAGAGGGCATACGGTTGTGACGGACCACCTCCTAACCATCAGGTGAAGTCCCCAGACTACCTGGGCTTGGGACCTGGCTCCATCGTTTCTAGCTCCAGGCCTCCTCAGTGAATTGCATGTCATCACCTAACTCATCTGGGCAGTTTTGGAGACCTGGTGGCACAGTGGTTAAGAGTTTGGCTGCTAACCAAAAGGTCAGCAGTTCAAATCAACTAGACACTCCTTGGAAACTCTATGGGGCAGTTCTACTCTGTCCTATAGGATCACTATGAGTTGGAATCAACTCGACAGCAACAGGTTTTTTTTTTGTTTTGTTTTATATGGGTAGTTGGAAAGTGCTGACTTTTAATTTGTAAGTAATTTAAAGCAATGCTCAGCACATGTTGTTGTTGTTGTATGCCTTTGAGTCAATTCCAACTCAGAGTGACCCTATAGGATAGTAAAACTGCCCCAGAGGGTTTCCTAGCTGTGACCTTTACAGGAGCAGATTGCCAGGTCTTTTCTCCCACTGAGTGACTGGCTGATGGGTTCAAACTGCCCACCTTTGGGTTAGCAGCCGAGCCCTTAACCATTGCTCCACCAGGGCTCCTTGCTCAGCACATACTAAGCCCTAAGTAAGTGTTTGTGAAAGCAAACAAGGTTTTGCCAAGTATCAAGACCTCCTTATGTGCGAGCCAGGGTCTCCCAAAGCAGCTGCAGGAGGTGCTCACAGTTTGTTTTCTCAAGCCGACTAAACGTTCCATTTTTGGTTTTGGGCATTAAACTTTGAATCTTGACCCCATCTAGGAGCCAGTGTGTGGGGATGACTGGTCTGTGGGGTCCAAATGGGGGAGGGTTCCTCCCCCACCGAGCCCTGGTCTCCTCCCGCACCGTCCACTCACGTCGGCAACTGCAGCTTTCTCCTTCGCTTGGCCCGTGAGGTCTACCCTCTGACTCTAACGTCATCTGCTGTACAAGGCTTTCTGAGCCTCAGTTTCCCCAAGGACCCTCCTCTCCAGGGGGCTTCACTTCCTGTGATGTTGGCATCTGATCACACAGGGACACCCTGGGGTAAAAGACAGATGCTGAGCTTGGAGGGTTGGCCTCCGGCCCCATCATTCAGCCCCAGAGTCCTCTGGAAAGCACAGATGCTACAGCCCTCTTCCAAGGGGCTGGATGTACCCTTCAAGCTACTACTGGAGGTGGGGGAGAAGGGGAGGAGTTACTGGTGTCCAGTGTCCCTACAGGCGCTGGCCCTATGGCTCGGATGGCTGCCAGGCTCACGGCTTCCAGGGCTTCATGACGGCGCTGGCCAGCATCTGCAGCTGCGCAGCCATTGCCTGGGAACGCTACCACCGCTACTGCACTCGTACGTTTTGGGGCTCCAGAGCAGGGCATCCATGTAGGCCAGGAGGAGAAAAGGCAGGGAGGGTGGTCAGGATGAAGGCCTGCTCAGTGTTTCCTGGCACAGGAGAGTGTGGGTGGGTGTGAGGGTGCATGAGTATAACACACATTTCAGGAAAGGAGGGAGGTGGGAGAGTGCAGAGGTGAGTAGAGGCCCATGGAAAGGCTCCCAGTGTCATTCCTGAAGCCCCAGGCAGATCAGGGATCCTCTCTGAACCTTAGTCTCCTCCTCTGCGAGGTGTTTTTTATAACCAACCTCACAGTTTTATTTTAAAAATCAAATGAGTTCAGAAATTGCCGTTGTGGACGTGCAATGTTGGAGAGGAGGGAGGCAGGCTGTGTGCGTGTGTGTGCGTGTGTGTAGCTGGGACTTCATGCTTCCATGGGGCCTCTGCCATGTCAAGGCCCCATGGAGGCCAGTGTACCATCTACTCTGTTATATATGTAATGGTTTTATTAAGAGTGACTCACTTCTAAAAGCTAGAACACCTGTTTTAGTCTCATTCTGAACAATGTCTGTGAGATCATAGGTTTAATGCATCATTATAACTTTGACACACATTAAAATAACAACTATTAGAATAAAAGCTCATCCATAGGCCATCCAGACACCCTGCCCACCACCAGGGTACGTGAATACACTGTGGGAGCCATGGCTCAGCTCACCCCCACAGCAAACCCTCAGACTGCAGACTAAGAAGCAGAGGCACCGAGAGGTTACGTAGCTTACCCAGGGTCACACAGCTAGCAGGGGGCAGAGTTGGGATCCCAAGTGGCCTGGATGCCCCTGGAGGCCGTTGCTCCCTTGGTCTCCTGAGCTGAGGTGTAGATTTTCCTCTGTCCTGGGTGTGGCCCCTTTGGCAATGTAAGTGGTTCTTGTGGGGGTCTCCTCTCAGATGCCTCCCTCCAGGCCAAAAAATGCTTTTGTTCTTGTTTCGAGTTTGATAGGTTAGCCCCTCCTGCTTCACCTAGGAGCCCCTCTCCTGCTGCTCCCAGCCCAGCACAGCCCCTAAAGCCCCTCAACTCCCCACCCCCCATACACAGACTCCTCCTCAGGCAGCCATGGGCGCCCTGCCTCGACATGGAATGGTCACGCCTGTCCGCTCGCCCCTTCCTGTGCTGGAGGGGGCATGGTGGGCCAGCATGGACACAAGAAAGGAGCAAGGGAAGGAGGAGGTCTGAGGGCCTGCCTCATTCCTGGTAGCCGTGGGCATGTCCCTTTGGTCATCTGTTCCAAAGCTGAAAAGTTGAGGTGGGCCTTTAGTATTGTGCTACAGTTGGGGAGACATGTCCAGACAAACTACCTGTGCGCTGTATGAACTGCAGCAGTGTCAGACAAGGTGGGTGTGGCCTGCTGTGTCTTGCTGTCACAGGAGGTCCTGTCCTCTGCCCTTGGTTGGTCTGCAAAGGAGCATTGCAAATAAACCACACAGAGGAGGCACGGGGAAGGAATCCTGAAGGCCAGGTCCAGAAGGCACCAGGGCGTGGGAAGGGCTGGCTTGAGGCCTCCTGGTCAGAGAGGGGCATGGGCGGAGGGGACAGACATGGAGGAGGCAAGGCCAATGGGACTCATCACACCAAAAGATGCCACTGAGATCCCTCCTCTGCCATTGGCACAGAGAGGACCCCAGCCCCCAGTCAGTTATCAACAGTATCCTGAAAGCTGAGATAGTGGCTGCGCGTGAGCAGGAGCCAGGGATGGTGATCAGCCTGGACTCCTGCCTCCCTCCCTCCGGTCCTCCCTTAAGCCTCAACAGTGGCCCTGGGGCATGTGTGGGTCCCTTGCCCCTCCCTCTGTTTCCCTGTCCTTTAAAGACAATGACGGTGAGCATCTACTAGGGGCCCTTTTCCATCCATGATGTCTTCTCTCCTGACCATTCTCCAAGGGAGGGGTCAGCCTTCTCATTTTGTAGAGGAGAACACTGAGACTCAGAGAAGCTCTCCACTTGTGAGAGGCACCGAGCAGTTGTGCGTGGGGGTGGGATTTAGGGGTCCTCTGCATGACTCTGAGGCTCCTCTTTCACTGGGCTGGCTCTCCTCTGCTCAGTCCCGCTGCCCCTCTGCCATGCAGGAAGCAGGCTGGCCTGGAGCTCGGCCGGTGCCCTGGTGCTCTTCGTGTGGCTATCTTCTGCCTTCTGGGCAGCTCTGCCTCTCTTGGGCTGGGGCCACTATGACTACGAGCCACTGGGAACATGCTGCACCCTGGACTACTCCAGAGGGGACAGGTGAGGCCTCAGACCATGGTGCCCCAGCTGAAAACCCAACCTGGGAAATGCAGGCACTCACCAGCCAACCTCAGCTCCTTAGTCACGACACCCACTGAGAGCTGACAGTGGACAGTGAGAGCCAGTTATGAAGACTGGCCAAGGGATGGGGACATTATGCCAATCAGAGCCCAGAGCTGGGCCCACAAAGGGGCTTTAGACAGCAAGCTGTGACTTGGCTGCTGGCCTGTGTCAGACACAACACTCTCAGAGGCCCACGGCCCCTCTGCTGTCCTCAGCAGTCAGCTGTCCTGACTCTGACATCATCACTTCCTTGATTTGAGAGGTTTGAAGCATGTTAAGGTCTTTGTGTTGGAGGGACCACTCCAGCATGGAGTTCAATTCCTCCAAGTTTGCTGGACGAATCCCTGGGGAGGCAGCCTTGAGTGCATTATGATTTTGGCCCCCATGGAATGCACAGTCTGGGGGAGACCAGGATTCAGGGAGCCCCTTTAGGGGCTACCATGGGGTGGGGTCACATGGACCCACCCTCCCTCCTGCTTCCACTGGAGCCATATACACTCATCTGTGGTACATGTGATGCTTCCTTGTGAAGCACCTGGGCCTGATGGCAGCTTCCATGGCGGATCGCCTTTGAGACCCTTGGTCTGGCCCATGTGCCCGTCCAGGGGTCTCCCCAGGTATTCCCCAGGGTGCCCAGTCCCCCTTAGTGGACAGTCCATGGAGCAGGATCTCCCCTCCACAAAATGAGACTCTGCCTTCCGGGGACTCCCATCTGCTGCTTCTGGTCTGCCCTCGGAGGCAGGCCTCCACCCACCCCCCGTGGCCACTGACTGGTCCCCTGGGCTCTTTTGTAGTCCCTTCAACTCTTTCTTCAGTCCGTCTCTTCATTGTCCAAATCCCTGTGTTTAGAACACTCCCTGAGTGCTCTGTCTTCCTGGTCCACTAGCATCTCTCTAATGGGTGAACACGTTTCCCAGATTACAGTGCCCATTCTCCATGATGGGGGGACACCCAGGACAGCTGGGCATTTGCAGAGATTTGCAGAGGGCTGGGCACCCAAACCCGAAGGAGGACTTGTTCCCACCCCAGCTTCCTGCTTCTAAAGTTACAAGAGGCAAGTAAGAGGAGGGCCTGCTCCCCACTGTAGCTCCTGGCTCCTGCACGGTGTTCACCAGGGCCCAGGAGCCACCACAATGAGCACTCATCTGAAGGTGGTGATTCCCCAAATCTGACTGCTCAGAGGCCAGTCTAGGGCAGAGGCAGGTGGCCCTGTGAGAGCAGCGATCATCCTGAGAGGCCACCTCACTCCTCTTCCCATCTGCCTGCAGGAAATCCACCAGCTTCCTCTTCACCATGGCGTTTTTCAACTTCCTCCTGCCCCTCTTCATCACACTCACTTCCTACCGGCTCATGGAGCAGAAACTCAAGAAGAGTGGCCCTCTCCAGGTAAGGGCCCAACTCCCAGAGCTGGAGAGGCTTCTCTGTCCATCTCAGCTACACTGGGGGTTCTGGGAGATGTGACAGGAACCATCAGGGTTCCTGTGTTCTCCAGGATGCAGAGAACATCCAGATTTCTTGGAGCAGTGGGTGTTAGGGCACCCAGGCACCTTGGAGGAATTTATTCCCAGCCCATGGGTGGGGCCACCACACCTGGGGAGAGGAGCAGGCTGCTCAGACCCCACACAAACCCCATCACCCCGTCAGCCAGGCCCCTGCAGGACCCCAGCAATGCCCTTACATGTCATCCTTGCCACAAAATTATGTGCTTTCTAAGTGTTACTTTTAAATTACTTAGAGCTGTTTAATCAGTCACAGGTGTTACCCACCACGTAAAATCACACCTGTGAGCACATCTGTCCAAAAAAAGAACAATACTTCAAAAATAAGCCCTTTTGGCCATTTCCAAATTTCTGCATTAATATTCACTTGCTGTGATTTATTTTTAACTTTGTTACCTTGACAATATCTAGCAGTTGAGTCATTACAAGCACCAATGAGTCAAAAAAACACATACTAACATTACTTTGGAGCGCTGGTGGCACAGTGGTGAAGAGCTCGGCTGCTAACCAAAAGGTTGACAGTTTGAATCCACCAGTGGCTCCTTAGAAACCCTACGGGGCAGTTCTACTCTGTCCTCTAGGGTTGCTATGAGTCGGAATCAACTCAGTGGCAATGGGTTTGGTTTTTTGGTTTAAAAAGCCAAGGAGAAAAGGCTGCTGCCGTAATTTTTTTGTTTTTCTAGTTTAACTTTAAAATCATCAGGTCTGGAGGCATCAGCCAAGGTCACCACGCACAGGCCAAGGCCCTCAGCTGTGAGCTGGGTGGTTTTTCCAGATGAGGCAGCCTCTCAGCTGAGGGTCAGTCTCTCCTCTGGCCTCAGCTTCTCCCCAGGAGGCCCTCCAGCACTAAGCACCTTCTTCTTTTTTCTTTTTGAATGAAGGACAATTCAGGAGAGAAAATGTCTCCCAGTCAACATATTTTAAAAATCCCAGATTGAAATCGGTAATTATTCCATGAAGAAAACGTGTCCTCTTCCAGCTTAATTTGCCTTCTTTGTTAGAGAGAGGCATGTCAATGATAAAATAACAGTTGCTGTCGAGTCAACCCCAACTCATGGTGACCCTGACTCATGGCAGCCCCATGTGTGTCAGAGTAGATCAGTGCTGATTTTTTGAAAGTAGATCACCAGGCCTTTCTTCAGAGGCAACTCTGGGTGGCCCTGAACCTCCAGAGTTTTGGTTAGCAGCTGAGTGTGTTAACTGTTTGCACCTCCCAGGAGCTCCGGTGAGAAAATAGGCACTGATTTTTAGCATCAACACATTTTAGTGTGAGAAGCAGGACATGGCGGAGTCCCTCCTGAAGTTATACTGCAAGTCGTGCGCCCCCTGGTGGTCATAAGTGGGACTGCCCTGCTCCCTGATTGTCATCTCACACTGGGAACCAGGTTAGGGTGATCTCATCAGCTGGGCCTGGGACCCAGTCTGAGGTCTGAGGGCAGCTCAGCCTGGGGACCTCATCCACACAACCACATGGTCACGGAGCCTAAGACGTCTCATTACAGAGCTCACACCTGAAGGAAGCTCATTACCTGGTCCAGTCCCAGCCTCTAGGTAAGTCATGTGTTGGCAGGCCATTTTACAATGGCAACTGAGGTCAAGTAAGCACAAGTGACAGGCTTAGAGTACCCACCCTTAAAAGATAGAGCGGTCCTGGAACCCTAGTCCCAACCCTGGGACAAAGTCAATCTGTGCCCCCAATTCCCCTGTGCTGGCACCTCCCTGCAGCTGGGCCCTGCTGCCCAGCACGGCTGAGGGCTGACAAGGTTTCCCAGGTTGTGCAGGGCTGCCTGCCCCTGGAGCAGAGCAAGCCCTCCCGGGAACATTTCTCCCCAGGTGAACACCACTCTGCCAGCCAGGACGTTGCTGCTGGGCTGGGGCCCTTACGCGCTTCTGTACCTGTATGCAGCCTCTGCAGACATGACCTCCATCTCCCCCAGACTGCAGATGGTATAGAAACAGCCTACCCCCAACATTACAGCCCTTCTGTCCCTGCCTGTTCCTCTGCCTCACCCCACCTCTCCTTCTGGCCTGTGTCCTGTGGGTCAGTCTCTCTGCCTCTGAGCAGTCATATTGCACAGAAAATTTACCCCCCTCCCCTGGGTCACCCCAGCCTGCTGGCTGATGTTACCTGGGCCTCCTGTGAAATGACAAGGACAGACGACCAGCTGGTAAACATGTGCCCTTGGTGACCAGGGCAAGGGTGTGGTTTCCGGGAGGGGGGGGTTTCCGTGGGGCCCCAAGAGCCAGGCCTTGCCTGCCCACTGGCAGGGATGACTTCGAGGCTGCAGAATCAGGAGATAGAGGACCAGAGGCTGTGGCATGGAGGGGCAAGGTTCACGGGTGGGATCCGGGAGAGGAGCAGAAGCCTTGAAGACTTTTTCTGGACTTTTCTGTCACAACAGGTGCCTGCCCTCATTGCCAAAGCAGTGCCCATCATCAACGCCTGCCACTACACCCTGAGGAGCCAGGTGGTCCCCAGGGGGGTTGGGCAGGGCCTCTCTCCTCAGAGGGGCCAGGACCTCCCCAGAGAGCGGAATCGAACCCAGTGAGCTCTGTGAAGCAGCTCCGACCAGGCCTGGTCTGCCAACCTGCCACCGTGGACTGAGCCCCCAGGATGCTATGCCCTGGACTCCTGCCTCAAACACTCAGCTCCCATCCTCGGTGCCCTGTGGTGTCCAGCCCAGAAGGGTCTGAGGGTCTGAGTGTTGGCCCTTGCCCTCCACACAGAAGCTTCAGGACCTTAGGAAAACGGTTTGTCCTGCCGAGTTCCCTGACCCTTTGTAGGGATATTGATATGCATGCAGTTCACAGGGTTGTTGGAGGGTTGAACAAGATGACATGTACTCACCGTGCACACAGAAAATGCTCTCTAAAACAGCTATCAGTATAAGCGGAGTCCCTGGGTGGTGCAAATGGTTAACGTGTTTAGCTGCTAACAAAAAGTTGGAGGTTCGAATCCCCTCAGAGGCGCTTCAGAAGAAAGGCCTGGTGATCTGCTTCCAAAAAAGCAGCCAGCGGAAACCTGTGGAGCACAGTTCTACTCTAACACACATGGGGTTGCCATGAGTCAGAATCAACTCATCAGCAACCAGTAATTGGTATTATTATGACTTGTCAGTTGTGGTTGTTATTAGCTGTGGTCAAGTCAGACCCTGACTCATGGTGATCCCATGTGTTACAGAGCAGAACTGCCTCATAGGATTTTCTAGGCTGTAATCTTTACAGAAGCAGATCACCAAGTCTTTCTTTCTCAGAGCCACTGGGTGGGTTTGAACTGCCAACCTTTTGGTTAGTAGCTGATCACAAACCACTTTTTTTTCTTTTTATTGCTGTACTTTAAGTGAAAGTTTACAATTCAAGTTAGTCTCTCATACAAAAATTTATACATACATTGTTATATGACTCTAATTGCTCTCCCTATACTGTAACAGCACATTCCTCCTTTCCACCCTGGATTTCCTGTGTCCATACCACCAGCTCCTGACCCTCTCTGCGTTCTTATCTCACTTCCGGATGGAAGCTGCCCATTTAGTCTCATGTATCTACTTGAGCTAAAAAGCACACTCTTCATGAGTATCATTTTATGTCCCACAGTCCAGTCCAATCTTTGTCTAAAGAATTGGCCTCAGGAATGGTTTTAGTTCTGGGTTGACAGAGAGTCCGGGGGCCATGCCCTCTGGGGATCCTCCAGTCTCAGTCAGACCATTAAGTCTGGTCTTTTTACTGAAATTTGAGTTCTGCACCGCACTTTTCTCATGCTCCATCAGGGACTCTCTGTTGTGTTCCCTGTCAGGGTCACAAATCACTTTTGCCACCCAGGCTCCTAAGCCTTGCCTCTGCCCTCCAGGGACTCAGTCTGTTGTAGAAAGACAACAAAGCACAGTGGCTGTGCTGCCAACGGTCAGATGCCACTCATTAGACCGTCATCTGGGCAAGCAGCTTGCTCTGCTGTGCACCGGCTTCCTAACCTGTGAACTGTGGTGACGGCGATGGTCCCTGACTATGCAAACAGCACTGGACCTCACCTGGCAAGTGCTAAATGCTCGCTGAGAGTTCCCCACGCCCGTGCCAGTCAAATCCAGCCCGTGGTGACGTGGGGTTTGGGCCACACGTGGCCTGAACATTTTTTCATTACCGTGTCCCCCCTCATTCGCGGTTTCACATCCCACAGTTCATTACCCGCGATCAACCATGGTTCCAAAATGTTACGTGTGATGAAATCTCACACTATCCCAATTTGTCATTCACAAACTTTTATTACAGTATGTTGTTATAATTGTTCTATTTGATTATTAGTTGTTGCTGTTAATTACTGTGCCTAGTTTATAAATTAAACTTTATCATAGGTATGTACGTATAGGACAAAACATAGTATATATAGGGTTCAGTACTATCCGAGGTTTCAGGCTTCCACGGGGGCGTCTCGAAACATATTCTCTGAGGATAAGAGAGGACTACTATAGTTGTCAACACTTAAAAACCAGGACGATTTATTAACAACCCAAAGAAGAGGCCCCATGGCCTTGGTGGCGAGTTTGCCGAGCGCAGGGAGGCTCTGCCCTTGGCCCCAGCCTGTGCCCCCCGCCAGCTCCTGTCCTGGCGTGCATCTGCACCGGCTGTGGCCATGCTCAGCCCTGGGCGGGTGTTGGGAGTGGAGGTGGTTGGCCAGGTGGCCAAGGAGCTGGCAGAGGAGGTGCAGGCGCGCCGGGCCCACAGGGCGGGCAGGAAGGCCAAGCCTACAGAGCTGAAGGAAGGTACAGACACATCTCTGAGAGGGACTGTGAGCAGCAGTGGGGGTCCCTGTGGACCAAGACCTGCCTGTCTGTTTGCAGATTAAGAAAACTAGGTCACACAGACACAAGCCCAAGAGGACCCTGCACAAAGCTGAGGCGGGCCTGGCCATCTTGCAAAGCCAGTGGAATGCGAGCAGAGCAAACTTTTCCACCACGGGCCTCCTCTAGACTGTGCCCTGTGCCAGGTGCTGGTGAGACGAGATGCCTCCCAGCCTCATCTGAGGCCTGGAGTGGGATCAGAGGGAATCCTTAGTGCCTGAGCCAGAGCTGGGCTCACACACAGGCCGAACAGGTCCCCAGAAAGCTTATGCCACCCCAACAGCCCACTAGTCCTTAAAGTGTCTTTACTGGGGACCCAAACTTCACTCCACCACCAGAGATGTTAACCCATCAAGGTGGGGCCTGCAACACAGTGAGAAGAGGGGAGAGGAGTGTGAAGACACGGGGCACGGCATGGTCAGTGTTTGCCTTTTCTGAGATCCAGTCCCTGGGTCCCCACAAGGAGAGACAGCCAAACAAATCCACACCCCACCTGTGCTCAGAGGAGAGGCACAGTGAGGCAGGAGGCCAGGGAGATCCAGGCCGCCTCAGCTCAGGCTGTACATGCCCCAGGCTTCCAGGAGGAGGGAGGGTGGCCTGGGCATCTCCATCCTGGCTGGGTTGGTAGGCGCGGCACTGAAGCAGTGATGGTGGGAATGACCACGGCCTGCAGCTTTAGGTTCAGAAGCCTCAAGTCTGCCCACGCTTCTGATTCTCTCTCCAGAAACAGGTTCAGGGAGCCTCTTCATCTTCAGGCTTTCTTCCCCAGGTCCCTAAACACTTCCCACATGCTGAATCCTCCGTGGACACTTCTGGGAGGGAGGGAGAGGTGAAGACCTCCCCTCTCCAACCCTTCCGCCACCTTCCAACACTTCCTGGGCTCTGCCCCATGCCACCCCAGCAGTCACTTCCCCAATCCCTGCCTCTGGTCATTCGACAGATCAGTATACACTTACCGAGTAGCTGCTTGCCATGGACGCTGTGGTACGTGCTGATGCCCACAGTCCCATTGTCTCTTCCTGGCGTTTGTAAGAACCTCTGCTCACCAATGGCTAAGAAGCCAAAAGCAGAAATCATGGTTGTCCATGTCCAAGCGAGTGAATCAGACATAAGAACAAGGGTTATCAAGACCACCCAGAAGTGTCCTTCAGAATCTCTGCCAGCCTTTATCTACTTCAAACGGAGCTCTCGCTCCTTTGATGGAGAGAAACCACACGGGACCCTCAACATCCTTGTGCATTTGGTTTAGTCACAGGGCTTACCTTGCTTACCAGATCATCTATAGTGAACAATTTCACAATTTTTCATCCTGTCAAAGATTCTGCTTCTAGGCATGGGTCGCATCTATCTCTCTCCCAACCCCACAGCACCTTCCTACAGAATCAAAGCCTCTTTTCAAATTTACAGTCCCTGACAGGGACAAATGACCCAGTAAGCACAGGTAAGCACGGCTTACTTGTGCTTACTTACTACAGATTAATAAGTAAGCACAAGTAAGCCCTTGCTTAGCTTGCTTGGAGCCCTGGTGGTACAGTGGTTAAGAACTCGGCTGATAACCAAAACTTTGGCAGTTCAAATCCACCAGCTGCTCCTTGGAAACCTCATAGCAACCCTATTCAGTATTATAGGGTTGCTATGAGTCTGAATGGACTCGATGGCCATGGGTTTGGTTTTTGGTTACCTCCCTCACTGGGTCACCCGCCCCTGTTGAGTCGAGAGTTTCCGCAGAACGGCCCTCTCCTGGTTTCCAGTGCACAGTGCGTTTCAGCCCTGTTCCAGATGTGTTTGAGTGTTTGCACTTGACTTGGGAACCTAAATGCCCACCATTATTTCTATGAACAGTTTTGCCTGGCATGTGACCCGCGGAGGAGGGGCCCTGGACATTCACTTGTGTGGCTGGAGGATGCTGGGTGGGTGGCCTGCCCTCACTGGCCCCACCTCTCCCTATTCTCTGTCTCAGATGGGTTCTGACAAGGGAGAAGACTTTGAAACTCTATCAGAAGTCTGATTCTTGATATTAAACCCTTATCAGATATATGTTCCCAATAATGCTTCCCCAATCTGTAGGATGGCAAAACTTCAGCTCGATTCTTCTATTTAAAAGAAAATTTTTTTTTTATATCTTTAGTTTCTAAAACTTCTACAAAAAAATATTTCTTTTGAGGAAAAAAATTGATCATGAGTAAGAGAACTAAACACTGCTACTACAAAACAGAACAAGGGCTCTAGTTCCCTCTGACTTCAAGACTGAGACTTCAAAATTATATTACTGTCAGGAAGATTTTAGGAAGAGTGACAACCTCCTTGAAACTACTGATGAACCTCTAAAGCTGTGTCAGTTGTACACACCTGCACTAAGCAGTACAGTGACACTAAGAAAAGAGAGCCTACAGAGAAGCCAGGAGTCCATGGAATGCACATTAGGTGTTATTTTAATCCACGTAAAACTTTACATACGCTGTCATCAAAGGTCATAGCACTACGTTTCTTTAAAAGATACTTTGGTTCCTGTTTTCTACCAATTCAGACCTGCCTTCTCCCTGCTGGAGTCTTCAATATCTCACAGTCCATGGATTGTTGCTGGGTGCCAATGAGTCGATGCCAACTCATAGCGACCCTACAGGGCAGAGTAGAACTGCCCCATAGGGTTTCCAAGGCTGTAATCTTTATGGAAGCAGACTATCACATCTTTCACCCACAGTCAGCTCGCTTACTTT